GAGCGAGGCCGGCACTCAGGGGGCGACCCGGGGCAGCGGACAGAGCGGGGGCGGGGACGCGGCCGCCTGCGCGGTTCCGGGTGCTCCCTCCGCTGCGCTGCCCACGGCGCACTTGACCCGGGTTGGGCTGCGGGGAAGGGCGGGTCTGGGGAGAGCCCCTGAGCGCCTCGGCGTCCTCCGACCCCTCCTCCTCGCGGCCGCCAGAGCCACAGCCGGAGCCGGAGCCCCCTCGCTGCCCGGTCCGCGCGCCCCAGCCATGGCTTTTGCCAATTTCCGCCGCATCCTGCGCCTGTCTACATTCGAGAAGAGAAAGTCCCGCGAATACGAACACGTCCGCCGGGACCTGGATCCCAACGAGGTGTGGGAGATCGTGGGCGAGCTCGGCGACGGCGCCTTCGGCAAGGTTTACAAGGTGAGGGTGCTGGAGGTGGGTGGCCCGGGGCGCTTGGAGTGGCTCTGGAAGGAAGGGGCGCCGGCCGGGGCAGCCCAGCCACGGCTCGGGAGGGCGCAGAGCGGGGCTGCTCGGCCCTCAGCTCGGGGCCCTGGGACCCAACCCGGTGACGCTCGCTTTTTGGGGGGCACCTCACTCAGCCCGGCCGACTCCCTGCGCGCTGGGCGCCCGCTCTGGGCACGGTTCCCGCCCCGGCCCAGCTCATTTTTTAACACTTCCTGTGCGTCTGGCACTGCGCTCGGCGCCCCAGGGGGAGACAAAGGGACGCTTATAGGACCTCAGCATCCGAAAGGGCCGCCCGAGGCACCCTCCGTAAAACTGTGATGCGACGCACACTTTTAAAGAGAAGCCACACAGATGCTGTGGGAATGCCGAGGCAATGGGGACAGAGAAACTCGGCTGCTCCTGGGAGGGTTGGGAGTTGACAGGGGAGGGAGGGGGGCAAGGTATGGCCCCTGGAGTGAGAAGTAAGGCTTGGAAAGGTGAGCTGGGGCTGGGCGGAGGGAGATGTCAGGGTCTCGTGAATGCTGAGCTGCGGGGAACAGATTTGATTCTGTACGTCTGAGTCACAGCTGGGGAGTCTCCCAATCTGCAGTCACCTCTCCCTTAGAGGAAGACGGGGCAGAGAGCTTTTGTGAAGGGGTGGGTGGGGCAGAGCGTTTGCAGTAGGACATTGTCTGGTTTCTTTTCCTGTGAGCCAGTTCTGAGTTGCTGAATTTTGGAGGGACCCAAACACCTATACCTTGACTCTAACTTCCCCCTGATCTCCTTTCCCCTAAGAAGGCTTTTACTGGGAGATTCCCACTGTCAATCAGCTGTATACCTCCAGGAGGGATCCTTCCTCCAAGACAGGTCACCCTCCTTGAGGCTCCTGTAGCTTGTCCAGGATTGCCTTCCAGGAGGCTGGACCACAGAGAGGGCTTTTCCAGGCCCCCCAGGTCTGGACTTGCTCTCTGTGACTTGAAAATTTTCTAGAGCCTAGTTACCAAAGCAGACCACCAGCATTAGCATCATCTGGGAACTAGTTAGAATGCACCATCTCAGTCCCACCCCAGACCTACTGAATTAGAATCTGCGTTTTAACAAGATCCCAGGTGATTTCTAAGCATATCAAAAGTTTGATAAGCACTGCTCCAAAGGCTCAGAGTGGTGGCAGTTTTGAGGCCAACCAGACTCATCTGGGTGCTTCTTTTGTTACCTCATCACCTCCCTCTGAACTTGAACTTTCTGTTACAGGCCAGGGGCACTCCCAACTGGGGCAAAGGTCCTGTGGTTGAAGAGGCAGGCCTTGTACCACTGGCTTTTGGACTGCCTTGATGTGTTGCCCTTCTTTGCCCAAGGGCTTTGCACATATGATGATACTTCAAAAAGTTAATGGAAAGATTCCTCTTAGTTCCATTTTTCCATGAACTTTCTGAAGTACCTTCATATTTGAGGGCAGCCAGCACACCCTTGACTCGGCACATCTTTTTTGTACTCTTCTCAGAACAGCATCTTCCCCCTTAGTGGCATCAGGAAATGGTCCTCAGTCTCGCTGCTCTCCCTGGACTCTCTGCCAGTGTCCGTGGCTGCCTTGGACAGAGCCTGCTCCTGCAGATGTGCTCTGATGACTGTGAGGGTAGCTGGACTCATGGTCAGCTCACCACATAATCCGTTGATGTTTTTAGTGCATACTGTTTTGACTCTGGATGATGTATTTTCTCTGTTGCGGGCTTTATCCCCTCCCCACAATGTATCCCGACATCATACGGTTCATTTTCCCTTAAATCTAAATGCAGAACTTTGCTTTTAGGCTGGTAAGATTTCCCCTTGTCGTTTTCGGTTGTCATTTCCGCCTGCTTTGGCCCTGTAAAAAAACTCCCCTGCTACTCTGGAAGTTTCATACAGAGGAGCTCGTCTGCTTCACAAGTTATTATCTCCTGTTCTCCAAAGCACATGGACTCTTAAAAAAGTGACTCCAGTTCTCAAAGCTGTGAGCTGGCTCCACTGTCCCTCTCCCCCCACCTCCGAACCCAAGATTTTCTTATAATTAAGACAAGGAAAAGCTAGACTAAGAGAGCTGTGTGGTGGCTGATACACTTGGACTTGCCTTTGACTCTCTAATCTAATGTGCAGGAGTACTAGGGCCCAGAGAAGGAAAGGGACTAGAACCCAAGGCTCTGGGCTTCAGTTTAACACTTTTTCCTTAGTCACCAAACCGTCCTGGATCAAAGATCCCCGTTACCCAGGCCGCTTACCCTGGAGAGGTGCTACTTACTCAGCCCCTTCTAGTTGAAGTTGAAACAGGTATTTCTTCTACCCTCTGATGAAGGATCATGACTCCTGCCCACTTCTTTGTTCCCTGACCTGGCTACCATGGCACCCTAAGCCAAAAGTCCATTGTGGTTTTATGGCTGGGACCAGAGATCCCATTTTTACATGGCATCTGGGAAGGCAGTTGGCCATCAGCTGGGGAAGATGGCTAGCACCATCTCCTCTCCTTGTCCTAGAAATAGCAGGTTCTTACAGCCTGGGTGGTACAGGCCTTCCTGAGGACTTCCTGGGTCTGTTAAGTTTTGGTGGTCTGAGTTTGTCAGCACTGTCAGGAGAGGACTCTGATTCCAGATTTTCTGAGTCTTAACATCAGCATCTCTAAGATATACAGCCCCTTTTTTCCTTTTCTCTTCTCTTCTCTGATAAGCTATTATCCATCTGCCTCAGGAGAAAAAGAAGATGGTGTTGATTTTGTGTGGTCACATGCATTCTCACCCAAGCATGTGCGATAGCCAATCAGTTTCAAAAGAAAATCATTTCTGGTTCATTACTAGAATACAAAGTAAAACTCACAAGTGATATCATTTCAAAATCCTTATCATTAAAAATAATCGTCAAGGCCGGCCCGGTGGCGCACTGGATAGTGCGCCGCTTGGGAAGTGCGGCGGCGCTCCGGCCCGAGGGTTCGGATCCCACGTGCCGACCGGTTCCCGCTCACTGGCTGAGCGAGGCGCGGGAGCAGCACCGAGGGTTGCAATCCCGTTGCCGGCCCCCGGTCCGGTACGGGGGCAACACCGAGGGTTGCGATCCGTTGCCGGACACGGAAAAAGATAAAAAAAAAGAGCCTAAAAAATAATTTAAAATACAGCAGGTACATTACAAAGCTGCCTAAAAAATAATTTAAAATACAGCAGGTACATTACAAAGCTGCCTAAAAAATAATTTAAAATACAGCAGGTACATTACAAAGCTGCCTAAAAAATAATTTAAAATACAGCAGGTACATTACAAAGCTGCCTAAAAAATAATTTAAAATACAGCAGGTACATTACAAAGCTCTTGGGAAGTGCGGCGGCGCTCCGGCCCGAGGGTTCGGATCCCACGTGCCGACCGGTTCCCGCTCACTGGCTGAGCGAGGCGCGGGAGCAGCACCGAGGGTTGCAATCCCGTTGCCGGCCCCCGGTCCGGTACGGGGGCAACACCGAGGGTTGCGATCCGTTGCCGGACACGGAAAAAGATAAAAAAAAAGACAAAAAATAATAATAATAATAATCGTCAATCTGGAGAAGTAGAAAGGGAAGTGTTTGATATGTTCAGTGGAAAAAGCTGCCTTCAGCAGAGTGTGCTTATTGTCATAGCAGCGGGTGAAACAGGTACTCACGTGGGAAACGTAGGCAGGGAGTGTACAGAGGTGAAAAGACTCAGATTAGCAGCTGTGAGGGTTTTTCCGTTTCAAAATTGCTTTGTTTTTGATCTTTTGTTGTCTTTAAACTTCCAAAAGATTTGTTATTTTTCAAAATTGGGAGTATACAAAAAAGCAAAAACTAAAAAGAAAAAAAATCACTCTAAGTCCTTCAATTGCTGTTGATATTTTGGTGTATTTCGTTCCATACTTTATAGATTTTATGGTGAAATTTTTTTTATGTGGGGTTGTAATCTACAGTGTTTTATGCCATCTTTCATTCTCAAAGTCTTTTCCTGTATTGTTTTGAATGTTTCACAGATATCTTCTGGCATGGCTCAGTACCCCCTTGATTCTAATCTTATTGGATATTTAAATAATTCACTCCCCCCTTTAATTTTTTACTATTGACAATTTAAAATTGTTTAAATGCTTGTCATATATTATGTTGTGTAATATATACTGTAAGATATATACATATATATATACACGTTCCTAAAATTCATGGAGTTGTGCAGAATCATGAAATGAAAATCATAGGTCTTTTTTTTTTTTTTTTTCCTTTTTGTCTTTTTTCGTGTCCAGCAACGGGATCGCAACCCTCGGTGTTGCTCCCACACCTCGCTCAGCCAGTGAGCGGGAACCGGTCTGTATGTGGGATCCGAACCCTCGGCGGGAGCACCACCGCACTCCCAAGCAGCGCACTGCAGCAGTGCGCCACCGGGCCGGCCCCGAAAATCATAGGTCTTATGGGGGAAATGGGGTAGAGGGCACACCACTCAAAACTTTATCAGTGCCACATTAAAAAAGGAAAAATTCAGAACCTGAAAAAACAGTAGTGCAGTTTCACACTGTTACGTGAATAAGAAGTACATGATAAAGGGCTGGCAAGTTAGCTCAGTTGGTTAGAATGCAGCCTTGTAACACCAGGGTCAAGGGTTCAGATCCCTGTACTGGCCAGCAGCAGAGTGGGGAAAGAGTATATAATATTGCAGCAAGTATGACCCTGAACCTCGAGAAGGACCCTGCAACCTGCTTACAGATGTGGGTGCCAGCAGGGTCACAGCTTCTAAAGCAGTGGAAGGGGGTTATATGAAATCAGAAGGAACGTTTGTGGATGGGCGTGGCCCAGAGGGAGCTGATAGATATTTGAGGTGTGTGCTCGCATGTGCTGGGATCAGCTGGATGAAGTTTCCTGCATTCACCTAGCGTTTCTCGCAAACGAAACACTGCACACATAAGCAAACGCGACCTTAGTGTTATAATAAAATGGCTCCCTAATATGTCAGTGGTGTTGGAACAAAAT